AATGAAAAACGAGGAAAGAGAAAATCGATTTTTGATTTACGTGTTGTAAAGTGAACTAAAATAAAATGTTTGCACTTACACTAATAACCTACTAAAGCGACATTTCAACTTTCAAAATGGCCGTCATGTTCCCCGATAACTACAAAAATATAATACAACTGCTGAACTTATATTGTAACAAGGACGTTAAATTGAAGATGTAAGCTGATTTATACATTGAACAACTTAATTTGAAATCCAATAAGGCTTCTTTGTTACTTAAGGTTTGTCTTAAACCGTTTGACTTTTTCATGCAACAGCTTACTGGTTTTCAAATGCATGTAGTATTCTAAATAGTACATGATACATGGACACATACCCCCATGGTTTTCTGTCCAGTAGGACACTGGCATTATTAATATTTTATGGGATTAATGGCGTTGGAGCTGACAGGCTGGACCCAAACACTGTATCTGACACTGTTTTTATGCCTTGAGTGACGTCGTACAATGCTTTGTTAGTGTCTATAGATCCAGATGTCGTAGTCACCTTCATCAGGTAGGCGCTCACTTGTGTAACCAGTTGCCAATGATAGTTGGCATATGTCACAGGATATTACCTGAAGGTATTCCATGTCTAACTTTGGAAAGTCACAATTATCCCCAGTAGCATCTAGTTTGACGAATAGCGACTTGGACCTTCTGGTCAGATCTAGCAAAGTTTGAGCTAAGTTGTTGTGGTGTGCTTCATTTTAGCAGCCAGCGCCATATCCTTTTCTTCTCACTCCTGTGTTCTAACGTATATGGGTCCTCGACGTCCATTGAGACAGGCTGTTACTATTCTAACGAGTGCTTTGATGAAATGTAACCATCAGGCAGGGCTATGCTCTTAAACTTCAGATAGTTACGCTTCTTCTAGCCACAGTAGAAGATTTTTTAAGATGTTCACGTCTAGCGAAAAAAGGAACAATGGTTATTCCTAATAATTCTATTTTGGAACTGATATACTGGATATTGATGTCAAAAAGAGTGATATACTATTTCCATGTTAAGTCCGTCGTCAGTTTTACCCACAACAATAGTAATGCGTCATCATGGTTTGAACTGTAAAAACAAGTACCAATTAAGGATGAACAATAAGAAATATTATATTTAGAAACTCTGTTCTTATCCAACCTGCCTAGGCGTCATAATTTGCATCATCCAGAGAGGAAAAACGCAGAGTAGGGGAAGACTCTTGCTTTGATAGCATATGACCAAAGACCATTCTGCTATTCGGTGTTCAGATTACCGCTCTTTTACAAAACACAAATATTGATATTGACCAAATACTGTCATTTGGAACGATATAAATGCCACCCTGGCTCTTGCATTCACCTGCAGTTGACTTTTCACTTCATGAAATGGTTAAATCTGACACTGACAGTTGCACCTTTCGTTCATCTTTCTCGAAATTGCTGTTAAAATATAAAACATTTCTACATTTATATACTAATGGTTCAAAAGATAATGATAAGGTTGCCGCCACCATGGTTACACAAGATGAAGTCTATGGCTGCCGGCTACCGAACTACGCCTCAATATTCTCAGCAGAAGTACGAGCTATCTACCTCGTCCTTGAGTATATTCAAACAAACAAAGTAATGAGAGCTGTTATCTATTCAGACTCTCTATCTGTACTACAAAGTCTTAGCAATAGAAATATAAAAAAATATTTTCATTCGTAATACATTAATACTATATCACGACCTTACCTTTAACTTTCTTACTGTTTTTGCTGGGTTCCTGGGCACATGAATATACCAGGTAATGAAAAAACAGATCGTTCCCAAAGGAAGCTTTATCGCTACCACCTGTTGTTCTTAAACTTCATTTTACCGATTTTAAACCATTTATCAAACAATCATTAACAGCTCAGTGGCAGGAGGAATGGAAGCAATATACCAATGATAAAATGCACTCCATAAAAACCTATAATCAGTTAATGTTTTCCATGCTATAGAGACAATCACCGAGACGAAGTTGTCCTTGCCTGTCTTCGAATGGGTCATACATACCTTACACATTCATATATATTAATAGGTGAAGATAAGCATCGGTGCGTAGGATGTGAAAAGCCCCTCACCGTTAAACATGTTTCATCGGACTGCATTGACCTGTTGCCTGCTCGTGAATGCTTAATCGTAACGTTGCAAGTATAAAAACCGTTTTTGAAACTGTTGAGAGTTGTCAAATTCTTGTTTACCTGAAAGATGTTGGTCCATATAATAGGCTATGGCGCATCATTTCAATCTTTTGTGGTGATACAACCATTAACACTTTTAGCGTTTGTCCTTTTTGTGGTTTGTTCGATCGCTGTGTGTTTCATCGTTTGATGGCCCGAATTACCTTTAATGTGTTGTCGGGCCGTTAACAGTGTCATAATAATAATTTTGTCTGTCTTGTGACAATCAGCGTTCATAGTTAAGTAATTCAGTTTCGTAATAAGTTAATTAGACAAGTGAGTGTGAATTAAATGTAAAGCCAAGGGAATCAAATTGTTGGCTCAAAGCAGTGTATTTGGTGAGTGGTCTCGAAGGGTGAAAAACTCTTTAGGCCGACCTCTATGGGAAATTAGCATTGTTGGAAACCCCACCTTTAAGATGTATGTCCATCGTAAATATCCATCAAAATCGGAAATCAAGGACACAACAGACTCTTCTACAACAACCGCTGACCTTGATCTTTTCCTGCAAAGAAATGAACAGGGGCAGTTTTTACCAAGCTCTAAAATAACTGTACTGAATTCAATTTCCTTATTGTAAGTTTTCTATTTCTACAATATCTGTGCATCTTCAACCTATTGTGTTTACACATCACAGCTGATTAGTGATTTAAGGCCATGTAATACGATTTTGTTACAAGATGTTGGCAACTGACAGACAAACTCACAACGTAAGATACAACGTGAGGAAGATAATGGGAAAGTTTTACAGTCGCTATAATGATCTTATCCGGAAATATGTTTGTTGCTGCATGAAGTTGAATGTTTGAGGCTCGATAGTATACTGTTAGTTCCGATCTTCCTTATCGTGTTCTCATTTGAGAATGTGACATTACTTATTTAGGTTATCCAGGATTTAAATATCGGAAATCGTCGAAGTTTTCTCTTCGTGGTAACATCACATTGATGTCATAGTTTAATCCTTGTTTATCCCTGTTTATATCCTTTCCATTAACCACAAATATAACTCAACATCTTGAAAGTAAATGACTCGTCAAGAATACAATAATAGTTTAAGGATAGAAAAGGATAGAAATTTTCACATGAAAATAAGCAGATTGTTTTTATCATTTCAATTCTGTTATAATTGATCCTCAATAAAGAACCGTTTTTCAAGAACACGAAAACGTTACCCACGGACATTTAAACTTAACTAAGAGCGTCTTACTTTTGCAACCTTGAGGGATTATCAATTAAATGTGAAGATATCACAACTTGATGCAAAAGCGATGCAACATATCATTTGGTGCATGATATACTAGCCATTATTTGTGCATTTCCGGAAAATTGAGAACTTGTAAATTGTCAATAAAAGGTCAGAATATAGTAAGGTCTATTTCTAAGTGATAATGACGATATTACTATCTATAAATTATTTTACTGTCTTGAATAGAGCAGTTAACACTTCAGTGGGTTAGATACTGACAAATTAATCATTTATACAATATCCTTATTTAGCCTTTCTTAATTTTTTTAATACATTTACCGCTCTTTCCAGATTTTACAAAAATGATACCATCAATTCTGGTTTTTGACCAACGTGAAACATTTTATATGATGGTGGATAGTATGTGACAAATGTATATATGTAATCGTGGCTGATTGTTGAAACAAATCTATTACAAACTTCACATGTAAATGTTGCGGTCTCGGCGTATTTTTACTTTTGAAAATACTTCGCCTTCGATTCTGTGATGATAATGTGTTTTTCTCACAGCAATTTACTATTCAATAGATACAACAGTCAGAGTTTAAACCTAGTCATATGTCAAAATGGAATACACAACAAATTAAGACAAAGTTGATCAAATATTCATCGGCATGTTCATAGCTGCTCGGTCATTAGATCAATTTAAACGAACTTGATCTACTAGTGCCAAACCTTTGACACATCAGAACCGTTACTATGGAAATAATGGTGGGTTCTGGTTGGTCGACTAAATCAACTGGTGTCAAAGCTTATGGTCTGACACATCAGAACCGTTACTATGAAAATAATGATGGGTTCTGGTTGGGCGGTATTGAGAAACTTAGTTAATTTTAAATTGGTTCCTGAGCAAACTTCTCTTGTTTGCAAAAAAAAAAAAAAAATGTCCTTTATAGATTATCTGAGTTTATTTACCAAGCACCTGACGATAGAAACGAGAGAAGAGGAAAAATAACAATCGGTCCTAGAATTATATCTTACGGTAGTTGGAGGCAAGGTTCGCCGTCGTTTGGTTAAACAGAAAGATATTTCTCCTCATTTCCATTGATCAGTTACAATTCAATATTCATGAAGTAAACATGAGCTCTTTCATATGAGACGTTTTTCACTAAAAATATATTGCCAACGCAGCCATTTACATTTCTTATAGCTATTTACATGTCAGTGAGTCATTAACGATTGGCAACTCTACCTTTGTTTATTCAACTAATGGAAACGGTTTGTAAGCACCAAGTTCTTTCCTGCATTAACAATAAATTAATATCAAAGAATACAGCGCAAAATGACAATAAGTATATCATGAATAGACAGCAACGACAAAGAGAGCGAAATATAAATCTATATTGTTAATAAATTGATGAGAATCTGACGTCTTATGTCTTGTTAATAGAATTGTGTTATGTTTAATTGTAAACAGTTACGATTGAAGAGCTAATCAACAAAGTGGAGACTTAACGCGACACTGAGCTGGTCGATAAACTTTAGTGAAGAACTAACACGTATCTGATGTTTTACTGGTGCGTCTTATCTTTGTGTAATACGTCAAAGAAAAATGATTGTAAAACTTCATTTATTCTTACTTATTGCAATCTCTTCGTGTGCAGATAATGTGACAGAAATGATTGAAATAACAGAACTCAGACGCGTCCATCTATTGGATGCTGTAGGTGTTGTGATTTCAACATCTAGCGTCTTACGTTGCGCCGCTAATTGCAATTCGTCGTGTGTGTCGCTATCGTACCACGATGAGACAAACACATGTCATATCTATGATTTCCTAGTCAGTAATGACACATTGGAATCTAAAACAGAAAATGGATGGAGATCGTACAGGAGAAATAAGGGTAAGTTCGTAACTTTCTTATTCGCCCAAGGCAATCTATTATTTGCCGACTATATAAATCTTATTCTTTGTTTGAAATAATTAAAGTTTCTATTAAAAATAATTCACTCTTTAGTTTTGTCATTTCTATTTTATTGGTAACTGCCATACGAGTTGGAAAGTTTTAGATCAGACATATTAGAATTCATTTCTATTAAATCGGGTCTAAAGTTCCCGATAATGGTATATTTTGTAAATAAAGATAGAGTATTCTTTCTTAGTTTTTTCTTTTCTTTTTTTATAAAAAGATATACATGATATATTGAAATTGACGAGTATATTGTTTCCAGGTGATTGCCCGACTGACATTGGATACATCTACAATTCCTCTCTTGACTGGTGTTATCGGCTGGTTACTGGATTGGACTATAATATTCAAGGCGCAGAATCCTTCTGTAACCTTGATGGGGCACATCTGGTCAGGATTAACTCCATGTTGAGACAGCTACACATGACGGATTATCTGAGTAAGACATAAGTTCATTATATGCTGTATGTTATGTTTTTCAACCATAAGCAAGATGGAATGAAATCAAAAGCTCCCATAGAAGATAAACCAAACACTTCCAATTCCACGTTTTGAAACATATCATCTAAATCTATTTCTGTTTCCTATTACTTAATCTTGATCACAAAAGATGTTTTGTTAATGAATGACGTTGACGTATTTTACAAAACTTGAATGGGATGAAATTTCTGGTTTCAGAGTCTAATGGAGTAGCATCGGTGTATGTTGGAGGTCGTTCTGAAAACAAGGATAATAATTTCTTCTATGATGATGAAACACCTTTACAATTCACCTTTTGGGATAGTGATCAACCCTGGCAACAAACAAGCATCTATATCATATTGGTTGGAAATAATTATGTATGGATGAACGGACATGGAACACAACCACGTGACTTTGTGTGTGAAATACTTGTATAACTTGAAACCAATGATTGAGCCTTTCATTTGTAGAATGGACACCATGTGATTATGAAAATGATTCCATAGCTGATGGGTCATATATGTAGTAGTGAATATATGTAGTAGTGAATATATGTAGCAGTGAATATATATGTAGTAGTGAATATATGTAGTAGTGAATATATGTAGCAGTGAATATATGTAGAATATATGTAGTAGTGAATATATGTAGTAGTGAATATATGTAGTAGTGAATATATGTAGTAGTGAATATATGTAGCAGTGAATATATGTAGTAGTGAATATATGTAGTAGTGAATATATGTAGCAGTGAATATATGTAGCAGTGAATATATGTAGTGAATATATGTAGTAGTGAATATAAGTGAATATATGTAGTAGTGAATATATGTAGCAGTGAATATATGTAGAATATATGTAGCAGTGAATATAGTGAATATATGTAGCAGTGAATATATGTAGCAGTGAATATATGTAGTAGTGAATATATGTAGTAGTGAATATATGTAGTAGTGAATATATGTAGTAGTGAATATATGTAGTAGTGAATATATGTAGCAGTGAATATATGTAGTAGTGAATATATGTAGCAGTGAATATATGTAGCAGTGAATATATGTAGCAGTGAATATATGTAGCAGTGAATATATGTAGTAGTGAATATATGTAGCAGTGAATATATGTAGCAGTGAATATATGTAGCAGTGAATATATGTATTAGTGAATATATGTAGCAGTGAATATATGTAGTAGTGAATATATGTAGTAGTGAATATATGTAGTAGTGAATATATGTAGCAGTGAATATATGTAGCAGTGAATATATGTATTAGTGAATATATGTAGTAGTGAATAGCATTTTAAATCTGAAATAATAAATTGAACTTCATATTTACAATCGACACGTGCGAGGAATCTTATACTGGGAGGAAGTAGCCAGGAAAATCCACGTTGTTGGTCAGGTGACCCCATATCTATGTACGTCCGGTCCGGGAATCGAACCTCAGACGCCTGGGTAAATGGTTAAAGGATGTGAAAGAATTGTCATAGATGTCAATACAGAACAAATAGTACTTTAACAGATATAGTATAACAGTATTTCGTGTGTTGTTTAGTTGTGAATGTCTTCGTACTGACTGGTGTTGTTTGCTATCTAGCAACATTGTTCAAGTATATAGATGTATTTAGATTATTGTTAAATTTTGTTTTGTTTTTCAAATAAAATGGAATGCACGCGCACTTTAATGAAGCATGAATAAATGTCAGTGTGTCTGTCTTTAGTAACAGATCAATTTTCGTCATATTGCATAGGACGTTAAGAGTACAAGAATAATTCTAGTAAAGAACTGTTGAGAATTCATGTGAAAATGTTTCTTTGTGCTCAAGTTAATTTTGTTATCATTTATACTCAGAAGATTTATATGATATCTCAATGAGTGGAATTTACCAGGTAGCTACGACAGAATGTTTAATATAATTTAGTAAACATCAGTTCTTTAATAAACGACGCTTTCACTTGAGAAACAGCATACATAGTTATGCCCGTGGACCAATTAACCCTTCTCTGTGTCAAAGGTTCCTAATGGTTTGTCCTTCATTCCTATTAGGATGTTATACACTTTCCTGTAATAACAGGTGAGAATACAGCACATGATGATAACAATTCTAGAATCGATAACAAAAAGTTGGAGTTTATCGTATTATTAAGGTAATAATGTAAGGATCAAATGTAAAGAATTTAAAGGAAAAGGTAATCAATAAAAACGTCACATTTGCTGGTCGGCAGATGTTTGTGTACAACAAATAGGTTTCTGAAGTTGTAACAGGTAGATATGATTGTAAGCCAACTTCTTGCATTATTTTTCTGTGGAGATAATGTGACGTAGATGATTGAAGTGATAAAATAATGTTTTAAATTGTTTCTCTTCTAAAAATAATACACCAACATGTCAACATAACACAACTCAAACAACTGAATTTTTTTTTTCAAATTTAATCACTAGTGTCCTGTAAAAGGATATATCAAAACAAAATCATTTTCTGATTTTGTTTATATTGTTAGCGAATCACAGAATTTTACACACTATACAAAATCAATAATTAAATATTTTAGCATTGAAATAATGCATAAGTAATGCTTTATTTACAAACGACATTGATGGATTTTATAAAGTTTATCAAATAAAATGGAATTGGAATTTCATGTTTTAAGTTTTTATCGGAGTAATTTCTGTATATTTAAGATGTCGTTCTGAAGACAAGCATAATTACTTTTCTTTGAGGATGGAACGCCTTAACCATTTATCCGTTAGTATACAAATCAGTCCCGTTACCAACACATCATCCGTATAAAAAGAAAGGGTCGGATGCGTGAATTAACGGACATGAAACGCTAACATTGTATATTAACACTTTATAATTTACGATTATGTCGTATTGAAAATCCGGACTGATGATTTTAATGTGTGTTACGTGACCACATTGAGATTCGCTAGCTAGGACAGAGATAGAGTGTTGGTTAGATTATTAAAATGGTGTTGGATAAAAAAAAAACTACCATGATGTCAATATAATCATAATACAAACTCAAATTCAATGAATCAAGGGCAAAATACGAACAGGAGCTTCTGCCCAAACACTGTCCTTGTAGTCTCTACTGCGGTTACGAATCGATTGCGCAAGTGTATCAATCGTATACGACCGTCATCCCTGGCGGTCGTTTTACGGGGTCGGCCGCTTCGGGGACGATCGGATGTTGATCCAGTTTGGTTTAAACGACTTACCAACTGGCAAATTGTCTAAACACTGCAACCAAAATGATGTGCAACTCGACGGCGAGACTCCCCAGCCTGGATCATGCCTACAGCCCTTTCTCTCTGTACTTGTGACAGCCGGGGCATAATGATAAAGTTGATAGATAGCAAGATTCGGTGATTTCTAAGTCCTAAGGATCTAAGGAACAGTTGTCAGTTTGAATGTTTATGAAATTCAAGCGAAGATACAAGTTAGTCGCAGAAAACCTCGTGCAGCTCTCTCGCTAATACAGACTTTCACGCTTGAATGATTTTGGTAAGCCCCTTGGATTTTGTAATGTAAAACATTACCATTTTCTGATATTGCACAAACGTTATTTTGTTTTCACTCATTGACAGGTATTCGCCAAGGAAACATGTTTACCTTTCTTTTTTTGTTGAGTATATATGTATACTGCATGTTGTAAAGCGTTCCATTGAATCGGAATATAGTTCCTGTTACAGCAGCCATGCTTTTGAGTTGTAAACATAAAATGGTATCAGAAAATCTGATAAAATCCACGCCAGATTGTGCCATCAATCGAAAAACAGCTATCCAACTGTAAGTTATGGAGGCTTTAGTGGGTGCAACTCCCATAATGGACTGGCAAAGCGAAGATTTAGAGACGGCTTGGAAAACATTCAAACAGCACGTTGACTGTATGTTCTCGGGACCGCTTCTGAAGAAAACGGAGCCTGAAAAATGTTCCCATCTTATGATATGGGCAGGGGAGAAAGGAAGAGACATGTTTACTACATGGAACCTCACAGAGGACGAACAAAAGGAACTCAAGCATTACTATAAACGCTTTGAACAGTATGTCAAACCACGCTCAAACGTTATTTACAACCGGTACAAGTTTCAGATTAAAACGCAAGGCGAAAATGAAACTTTTGAACAGTTTACAACGCAGTTACAAGTGTTGGTGAGAGACAAGTCAGATGAGATGGTTCGCGATCGAATCGTTATCGGTGTGCGGAATTCTAAAATCCGCGAGAAGCTAATCAATGTTGGCAGTGAACAAACGTTACAAAAGGCAACGGATATTGCTAGGACTCACGAACTCTCCCACGCACAAGCTAAGTCAATGGCTGGGGAAGATATTAAAGTACACGCGATCTCCAAACCAAAACGTGAATCGCACGGCGATCGTAAGCAGGGTAAACCATGGTCAGGTAAGCCTCATAGTCATAAACAGAGACCAAAAGTTAAGGAAACTAACTGTTCAAGGTGTGGTCCTGTGTACCCCGGAGGTGGTAAACATGCTAACTGTCCGGCATTTGGAAAAACTTGTTTGAAATGCAAAAGGAAAAATCATTTTGCTAAACAATGTAGGTCCAAAGATGTGCATGGCATCGAAAAAACATTGAGTGACAGTGAAGACGAGTTCTACGTTGGCTACCTAGAAACTAACTGTCAGTGTTCAGGCTGAGTGGAGCAAATCCATGGCAGTTGAGGGCAAAAGCATATTGTTTCAGTTAGACACTCAGGCAATGTGTAACGTGATCAGTTTACATACATTAGAACAACTCAACCCCTCTCCGGTCGTACTCAGGTCATACTATCAACCCTAAAGGTATGGTAACCCTAAAGTGCAAACACAAAGGAACAGTCAAAAACCTAAAATTTCACGTCGTTGAACGTGATGTCAAACCAATACTTGGCGCTCACTCGTGCAAGGACTTCAATCTCGTGAAACGTGTAAATGTGGTGGATACCAGTACTACCTGTATTCCTGAAGATCTTCAAGAGTTTGCCGATGTATTTGAAGGGTTAGGGTGCATACCAGGAACACATAAGATTCAAGTGGACCCTGAGGTGAAGCCCGTTGTTCATGCACCACGAAAAGTGCCTATCGCTATCAAAGACAAAGTCAAGTCGGAACTTGACCGGATGAAAAAGGAAGGTGTGATTGTAAAGCAATCCGCGTCAACTCCTTGGGTAAAATCGATGGTCACATTTAGATCTCTCATTAGTAGTAAAATGTTTAACAGCAAGTAAATATTTACAGTGATTGTCTGATAGAATTTTCTCTTATCTTAAGGGGAAGGATGTAATGTATTGTACTGTTGGTTCGGTTACGCCACCATAACTCATTAGAAGACTCGCTATGAGTACTATATCTAGTCAGTGTCAGTCATAGTCTTTATCATATATGTATACTGCATGTTGTAAAGCATTCTATTGAATCGGAATATAGTTCC